AGAGAGAGAGAGAGAGAGAGAGAGAGAGAGAGTGTGTGTGTGTGTGTGTGTGTGTGTTTGGAAGTTAGGCCTTACCACATGATCTAACGCTGCTGGCATTTACATTGATACTTGGTGCATGCAACCATTGCTTAAGCAGTTCTGTAGTAAGTATTGTAGAGTTTTCAGCTATAAGTTGGCTTATCTTTAAGTGGTAGATGAACCTGAAAACTTTGCTTTATTTTAGTATTTCTATGGGAAAGTGATTTCTAACTTATAGCCATTTAAAGTTCTCAAAACTTGAGAACTTCTTGTATATTGGGTCCCATGTTTATAAAAAAAGATTAAAATTTCTCTAGGTTTTAATTTCCAAGTAACTTTATTTGTTGCACATTAAAGGAGAAAAAAAAATTTATTGGTCAGAAGCTGTCAAGGAAATGTCAAATACACATTTTAGCTCTAAACAGTTGTACTCTCTGCCTATCATAATGTAGTAGGAAGAAAGGCTAATTTTTTTTTTTTTTTTGATGATTTAGGAAGGCTTTAGACTGAGTTTTCCTTATTTTCACAGTGGTTTAAATTTATCTCCATTTCTACTTTGTTTAATATGCTTTTCTCATCATCCTGTCTCCAGTTCATCTTTGTTGTTTTAATTAATTTTACTTTGTTAGTAAAATGGTGATATAAAAACAGTCAAATTACGAAGTTGTACAGTGAAGCAGTCATGGAAAAGAAAAACAGAATAGATAATCAAGTATGGCATTTGTAGCTGGATTCTACATGCACCGTGGACTTAGTTCAGTGCTCCCCCTACCCTTACCCCTCCAGTTTTGGTTAGCAAAAGCCATCAAGGGTATTACTAATTTTTTTTTCCTCTTTTTCCCAGAGGGAAGTGTAACATCTCCCATTTTTCTGACATATTTGCTGCTAGAGAGTTTAAAGCCCGGGTGGATTCATTTTTCTACATATTAGGATATAACCCTGAGACAAGGTAAGTGAGTCACTTGTGTCCATTCGTTGAGAACTCTTTTCCTTTTCGCGCACGTGCGCGCGTGTGTGTGTTTATGCCTCTGGACATACACTGGTAACATACTTTAAAAAAAATAACCCCAGAGTACTACAGTAAACTTCTTTGAGAGGAGTTGTAATTCATGTCTTCGGTATCTAAAGTGACTTTTCTGTTTGCCCTTTACTTTTATTCAGAAAAAGAAAAATGAGAAAATTTGGAATGAAAGAAGGTGGGATAAAGACATACTTTTATTTGATCTGTGTTTGAATTTAAGAATTGGTAGATTATTTCCCTGATTCACATTCTGTCAAGTCTTCCATAATAACATATTGAAAAAGACTAGGTAATTTTTGGAAAATTTGTTGGTTACTCATTTGTTTTACTCACTCTTGGCAATAACACTCCAGGAACACTCACTGAAATATATCTTTAGTACGACTGCTAGTATGAGTTGGACCCATGTCGTTCTCAGAACATCTTGGTAAGATCTATGTAATAGTTTGAATTTTTTTTAAATGAAAAGCAATAAAGAGTAATTTAACACAATTAATTTTTTATGTCTGTCATAGATGCTACTTTAATGTAGCACATGGAAGAATTTTTGTGAGTGTATGTATTCGTAATTGCCCTGTTTTGATCATGTGACTACATACATGTTTTATTAAGGATTTTAAAAGCAGGAATGTTAGGAGATCAAGTAGTATGTGCTCTGGACACCCAAGACATATTCACATGTGTGAAGATTTAGAAAGACATAAAACATCCATAGCCAGGTGCAGTGGCTCATGCCTGTAATCCCAGAACCTTGGGAGGTCAAAGTGGGAGGATTGCTTGAGCCCAGGAATTTGAGACCAGCCTAGCTAGGCAATATGGCAAGACCTCCTCTCTCAACAAAATATAAAATTGGCCTGGCGTGAGGGGCCGGGCGCGGTGGCTCAAGCCTGTAATCCCAGCACTTTGGGAGGCCGAGGCGGGTGGATCACGAGGTCAAGAGATCGAGACCATCCTGGCCAACATGGTGAAACCCCG